TTTTGCCTATTTGGAATTTTAAATGGCAGCTTGTAAAGTTGTAACGTTTATAAGTTTGTACTTTAAAACATTAATGTGTAAACTCTGTTTGGAGAATTGTAGTCCCAAGTTCCCAACTGGCCAAGGCCAACTCCCAAACATTTAAATATTTCATTTTGTTCACTTTTTTGGACTTAAACTCAGTATGGTTTTAGTTTTAACTTTTAACTTGTTAAGATTTCCATTTTGCCATTGCCATTTTGTTTTGCAAACTTCAAATTGTATTTATAGTTTGCTTTTTTTTTTGCTAATTTTGTAACCCGATTTAACCCGAAACCCGACCTGCAGCCGAAATTAACTCGGAAATTAAAATCCTGAAATTAGGTTATTTTAAATGCATAGGATCGGGTATCCATTCAGGTCACCCGAAACCCGAAAGGGTCTTGGGTTTTTCAAACCGCCCGACATGTGCTCTCCCCTAGCAGTAATGTAGAGCAATAACGCCGACATCAAATGTAATACTCCGTATATTTAATGAAATAATTACATAAATATGACCAAAATAAAGATGGTTTACAAAAATATGACTAGTTACTAGAGTAGTAATGAAATCATAGTAATTCATGTTCATATTTTGAACGTAAGTTACTACAACACTACGTTGTAGTAATGAATAGTCATATTTATGTAAATAAGTTTTATTTTAGTAATATTCTTGTAAAAAACTCTTATTTAATTGGACACAAAATATGAAAGTTATTAAATCCAAAAAATACACTCCGTATAAAAAAGAATATTTAATGAAAAAGAACACTCCGTATAAAAAAGAACTATAACTATTTGATGACAGAGAATATTGTAGGTCACTAGTGACAACACTTCACGCGTTGTTTTTCATAGAAGTCAATCGATTTTACCCGTTGAATACGCAAAGGGTTCGTTTGGTAGTTAACCCATTAAATCTTTGCACATGAAATGATTGCATGCAAAGTTTAGAGAAGCAATCATTTTACATGTAAAATAGATTACATTATTTGGCTAGATGTGTAATTTATTTTTAAATTGCACACAAAGTCGTTGCAGTGATTCATAAAAAGCATGCAAAGTATTTTACCACCATACCCCTTACATGGTACAGTGCGAAATGTTTAGAAAAAGTGTCATACAGTTTACATTAAATAATCAAACCTAACAATGTAACATTTTATGTCATTACATTTTGCATACAAAGTAATTATTTTACATCCTACCAAACGCGCTGAAAGTGCAAATATGAAAAAGAAATAAATTATTATTAAAGAGGTAAAAAGGAAAGATAAGTAACGCCCGATGTATAACCCCTAAATAAGGGAATTGATTGATCTTTTAGACCAATTTGTTTTTATTTGGTTTGAACAAGTCTTTTTTCTGGTGTTATAGTTAGTTGGAACTAGAGTCATCTATTTACCTTTGATTTGATCATGCTTGATTTGAGGATGTTTTCTTTTGGATTATTTTCAGTCTCAAACCAAATCAGAACAGACCAGATCAAACTAGACTAGATTTAAACAATCAGATCAGATTTAAACAGACCATACCAGATCAGGCTAGTTATAAAATACACAGAGGTTAGACATTTATCAGACCTGACCAGTTCAGACCCGACTTAAACAGACCACATCCGCGCAGACCAGCAAATTTCAATCGAAAAGAGCCGATAAGAATTGTATTTATCTTATTATTTCTTGAGTCTTGTTTTAATTTAGCCTGTTATGTCATGTTTAAGTTTCTTCTAGTCAGTGACGTATCCAGGGTGGGGTCAGGGGGTAGCTGCCCCCACCCAACCCCATATATATATATATATATATATATATATTTAAAAATTCAATTATACATACTCCCTCCATCCCATAGCCAAGTTCTCATTGCTGTTTACGAGGTATGACTGACGAAAAAGCAACTCAATCCATGTTCATACTCAAATTATTTTTAGTAAATAAAATTTACATATTCAGAAACTTCATTAAAATTGCTACAAAGTCTTATCAAGAAAATTTAAGTTGAATAAAATTTTGATATACAAAGTAAACGATTAAGAGTGATTTAAGTTGACCACTGGAATAGTGAGCGAGAATTTGTTTGTGCAGAATATACGGAGTACATAATATATAACGGAATGATGCAAATTCTAACCAAGGACAAGTCTAGTGTGGTGGAAAGGGAGCTGAGGGCGTTTGGTGTCCCTCTGTTAAGTTGGAGTTTCGAATCCGTGCTCCATTTTTTGGTACCAAACATTAATTTTCCATCCATTATCTTCCTTATTTTCTTTTTAAAGTATTAATCAAATTTAAAGTGACTTAATATATACATACATTTTTAGTTTTAATCTTAGATATAAATTAATTCTTAGATATAATTCTGCATTCACAATTTACATTAATTCTAAATACATACAATATGTGTCCCTTATTCAAATTATTTATTTATTAACATAAAATCGAACAAATAATTTTTTTTGTGTCAAATTTATTAAGCATGATTTCATATTTTTTAGCTAATCGATTAGTTTTTATTTATAATGAATTTTGTCCTATTTTTCTTAAAGTGTTAGCTCCTTGTGACATGCTTGAAATAATATATACTCCCCTTCGTTTTATAAATTTGTTCTCAATTTGACTTGTGGTTGAGTATAAAATGCAATTGTGTGATTGTGGTTGAGTATTTAAATGAATGTTAGCCAGCCAAAATTTTTCAAAAAGGAAAATGAAAAAAGTTTTTTTTTGGGACATCTCAAAAGATATCTCAAAAGATAACTGAAAAGAATTTTATGGGACGCGGGGAGTAGTATGAACTCGCCCCCACTCACCGCAAATCCTGGATACGCCACTGCTTCTAGTACGGTCGAGTTTGTTCTGATCTATATATTCTACACTAAATTTTTTTGACAGAATTGCCATCTGACCAGAGGCGCTATACCGTGGTATCATCCGCCGATGAGCACCATACTCCTGCTCTTAAAACGACATAGTTTTGCACAACTTTTAATTAAAAAATTTCACGCGTGAACAGTAACACGCGTGAACAGTAACACGCGTGAACAGTAGCTTTTAATTTTTTTTATTTTTTGTCCCAGCAATATCGTGATGTAACTCGCGTGTAAAGAAGTGTAACTTACCTTGATAAGAAATGTAACTGTAGGTCAGTTGAAATGTAACTTATCCAATACGATGCCTAAGAGATGAAACATTGATTTCAATGTAAACAATGAAAAAAAAGAGTAACCACACAATTACTTTACATAAATTGTGAATATGTTTTGTGTTTTTAATATCATGACCATCACAAGGATTTTAAAAAATCAATTTTTTTTGTTTCATGTAACTCAATACATGATTTATTTATGTAACTCATGTTATTACAAGTGTAACTCGCGTTGATAACAAATGCAACTTGCGCTTTAGAAGATGTAACTCGCTTATAAAATAATGTAACTTAAGCATAAAAATATGTATATGTAACTCACACAAATGAATATGTAACTTCATACCAATATAAATGTAAACATTTTTAACAAAAATGTAACTTTTTAATCCAAACTACTTTTCAAGAAACTAGCAGGCTGCCCAAAAAAAGAGAACCAGAGAGCATTCTTCAAAAAAAAAAACAGAGCACTACGGAGCACTTGAAACGGGCCAGCAAGAGAGCAAAATAGAGGTGAGCGGGCTGGAGCTCCTCGTCGGTGCTGATGGCGGAAACGTCGTCGGAGTTGCAGATGAGAACTGTGGGGTCCTGAAGGAGATTGGAGGCTTTGATGGGGAAGGGAAAATGTTGTAGCTCCCATCTTCAAGAATCAACTTCGCCATTGGAGGTGACTCAGTTTGGTGTAGTGAGTTGAACTCCTTTCTGGTAGCGATTCCAGCAATGAAGGGAAGAGGAGAAGCGATCTAATTGTGTGGTTTAGCTACATCCGAATCTGATAGGGCACGGGTCTGCAAATCTGAAGAAAGTCGGTCATTTTTAATAATCAAACGGCACCGTTTGGGAGCAGGAGCACCATGCTCACCGTGGGATGATCCCACGGTATAATTTGCGATCTGACCAACATTTATATATGGATCAGAGTGTTGAACTATTAAGAATTCTACATTAATATTTTCTACTCTAGTTCGAAATTAAAATCAGACTGATTGAACCGTTCCGAAGTTTACAATATTTTTGTGTTTTCCCCCTATTTTTTAGCACAAATTTATAAATTACCCTAGGTGCAAAATTGAAAGATCAACAATTAAAATTTTCACCTTATATATGTCGGTTGTTAAAATAATTTGTGAGACTGTGACCTCACTAATTAGCCGGCGTCCCAATCACTAGTGAGTCGTCTGTGAGCCCGTTTGCTAACACTCAAATTGGCTGAATTGGTTGATTCTACTGAAAATTGTGAAATTCTGGCTGAAATGGCTGTATTGGCTGATTCTGCTGATTCATGAAAAAAAATTAAAATATTTTTTATTAATAAATTAAATAAAAAATATATATATATATATATATAAATAGCTAAAATGATCTTCTTTAGTAACTACAGCTAATACATCCGTAAAAGTAACTTCAACCTTACTTTTCTGCTTATGACAAAATTTAGCGCGCGAAATTAAAAGTTACGCGTTTGGTGAAAAAGCGGGCTGATAAGTTTGATAAGCCGAAAAGGGGGTCATCAAACGGGCTCTATATTGTAATCCGGGACATAGGAAAGACCCGAGTAATAATTATTCAAGACTAAAGAAAGATTGCCAAAACAAAAACAAAAAGACTAATTGACCAAAAAAAAAGACCAAAAAAAGCAAATTTGGTTGACAAAAAGAAGCGCGTGACTTTTCCACCATTAGTGCATCCAAATTTGTCTTGTGTGGATATACGTATTTTATTGGGAGGGAAGATTTATGATTAGGAAAAATTGTATTTGTGTACACACTTGGTATATATTTATACGTTATTCTTTATGCACACAGGCAATGTGCATGTCCCTAGTCGTATGTGGACGCAGGCAGCTCGTGCAGCAATTGTTCGTGACTTCGTGTAAACAGACAATTACGTACAAATATACACTATTTTAGGCCACGGAGTAACAAAAGAAGAGATTGATCGAGCATTCTCAAAACTAATCACTTGCTCTCTAGTGCCCTTCTTTAATCCCTTGAATTTCAAGCTTAAATGGAAGGTTCTTTTACACTGGATGTGGCTGTTGTAGCTGTGGAAATTATCGGAGTAATTCTTTGGATGGTCACAATATCTGTTGCTTATTCTATATTGGTATATATAGATACACATTCTTACTTTCTTATTATTCAGAGTACATTTCTAGAACTTGCATTGCACTGCATCATTAATCTTCACAATTTGTGATGGTTGACATGAGTTTCATGTGTATACTTCTGTTCATGTCAATCTTGCCCTGATCGGAACCGATTGAGATCCTTTGCCCCAGTGAGGCAGAGGTGCCTTGTAGCAATGGACGGACGGATGAAGAACAAGGTGCCTCGAGATGCGTTCCTTTGATATTTGCGGCCGTTGGTTTTTTTATGGGAAAATGGAAATTAATAATCCAACCTTTTAGCGGTCTTCTTTTAATAGTTCGAGCTTTTCGTTATTCATGAATAATCCAACCTTTGCACCTCATCTTCATTCATTGGTCCCCGACCGGTTGATGACCTGCTATTCCGAGTTATTTTCTTATCTCCGCAAAATATTATACCATAAATTCCACCTTTCACAAAGATAATATTTTGCAAAGATAAGAAAATAACTTGGAATAACAGGTCATCAACCGGTCGGGGACCAGTGAATGAAGATGAGGTGCAAAGGTTGGATTATTCATGAATAACGAAAAGGTCGGACTATTAAAAGAAGACCGCTAAAAGGTTGGATTATTAGTTTCCATTTTCCCTTTTTTTATCGGACGGCTCTAAATCCAGGGGCAGAGCCAGGGCACTCGGCCAGTACAAAGAATTTTTTTAGAAAAAAAAGTACACGAATTTTTTTACCTTAAAAATTAAGTTGTTTTTAAAATTTGGGGTGGGCCAGGGCCTAGGTTGGCCCACCCCTAGCTCCGCCCATGGTTCTAATCAGCCGGGCACCCTACCTTGCTACAAAGAAAGACAGAGATTCCGGATCCGATCGGATTTTGTTTTTGGCTAAAAACAAATACTTTAGTCAAACTTCTATATATACTCTTTATTGTTAATATTAATCGATTACATTATCACAAATTTTACTGTATTCTAACGAGTTTAAATCGTTTAATTTTATGATGAATCGATCTAAATTGTTCAACAATATTTTATGTGAAAATGTGATGTCGGAGTCTATATTCAAATATATTTAAAATCTAATGATTGGAACTAATATATGTATTTAAACGGTACATATATGTATTTATATTTTTAAGAACTAAATTGACAATTGATGATAAAAAAAAAAAACTAAATTGACAAACGGTACACATGTGTATATACTTTCTAAAAAATAATTTTTTTGAATACGATAAGATATACGGAGTACTATGCATTTAAGTACTATGTGCATCATTTCATTGTCATAATAGTGTAAAATTTGAATACAATCATATTCACGAAAAGTCACTATTACAGTGAGATTTTATAAGAATTCACATTTTTGTCAATTAGTTTTATTTTAGTTTATTTGTGTCATCATGTACTCTTTCTGTCCCACAAAATTTTGCTAAATTTATGTATATTTAGCCGTCACATAAAAGTTTACTAATTCCATTTAATGTAATAAATATTTTGTTAAAATTATTTCACTTATCTACACAAATCTCAAAGACACAATGTTTGCTTTATTACTTCACGTGCAAGTCTATGTGGAGAGAATATCTATTTATGTATATATGAAATGAAGGAACTTGATCGAATGTATACATGACGATCAGGGGAGTAGCTAGGATTGAAGGTTGGGCTGGACTGATACAAAGAATTTTTCAGATATTTTTTTTCACATAAATTTTTACACTAAAAATACAAAGAATTTTCAAATTTGGAGTCGGCCGTGACCCGGTTGGCCACCCCTCTACCTCCGTCCCTGATGACGATTGATCTCTTTATTATGATTTTTTATTATGATGTAGGTGAAGTCTGAGAAGGACGAGTATGATTGTGAGGAAGTGTTATTAAGGCATGATGATGCTCATTATAAAGTCTTGCCTGTTATGTTTACAGTTGGGGTTGCACATTTTTATGTTAACACAAGGGCCTTCACAAGAGCAGCTTGTTGCTGCCTACGGTATTTTTTCTATTCCTTTTTCCAACTACATATCTACATCTAAAGACAGTTAATTAAGATCTTGTTCAGCACTATCTTTGTTCTAAAAATCGTTCTAGGCGCCCGACTGGTCCCCGCCTAGGCACTAGGCGGTGGTCGGGCGCCCCGATTTTTGTCTAGGCGCTCCGACTAATTGGTTTGCCGTCTAGGTGAATTAGGTGACCACCTATGGCGCCTAGTTGTCCGCCTAGAGCGCCTAATCAGCCGCCTAGACCGTCTAAATTTGCCGAACATTACTTTACTCTTAAATTTTAATTTTCTAAGCGATATACGTACTTTAACTTCAGCCATGAATATATATAAAGAAATGAAGTTTTAAATTAAGATAAAACTATATATGTTTGTATATATACCTAAATTGTACCACTAATCTATACTAATATAAAAAGGGAAACCAAGACAATAACCATTCCCACCATAAGGTTGTAACCGTTCATTAATTAACGTTCTGCCGATATGATGCAACACATACTTTCTAAATCGGTCATTTAAGTAAATGTTGGGAATTAACCGGTGCTTCGTGATTTATAGGCTTGGTAAATGTTGGGAAGGAATTATTAGTCTATCACGGACTTTCCAAATCGGTCATTCAAGTTTTAAGTACATGCCTTTACGGTTTTACACTTTTACTCCTTTAAAACAATTATTTGTTCAGGCCATGCATGATTGTTTTGGATACTTTTACAATCACGTTCGCACTTGTATGATTTCATCCGTTTATCAATGAGTGAATAATTCTAACATATGTGGGTGGGGGTTTGAAAGCTTTGTTTGAGATAGATGTACGTATCTTCATAAATTTACAGAATTACAGGTACACACTTAATTTTCATGGGGTGTCGAAGATGAACGGTAGAGCTCGCTTCCACAAAGATATGTATTAGTTCTACCGAAGAGTGGAATTAACGTTGATGGCTCTACTGTTTATTAACGCCTCTTCACATATATTTTCAAACATGGCTACAATTATTTTAAAAAATGTGCAACTAAAGTTAGGATGTTTTTACTTGGACTGTAATTTGTCCCAGACCAGACCAGACCAGACCAGTTCAGACCAGACCAGACCAGTTCAGACCAGACCAGACCAGACTTGGATAGTTATAAAAATACAAATAAACCAGACCTTACCAGACCAGACCAGACCAGTTCAGACCAGACCAGACCAGACCAGATCAGACCAGACCAGACCAGCAAATTACAGTCCAAGTAAAAACATCCTTAATGTAGCAAGTACTCCGTATTACAGTATCACGTAGTATATATTAAAATTAGTTTTTTTTATTGCTTTTGTATAGAATCTGTGGATGCTTTTGTGTAAGTTCGACCCTTACAATAATTATAACCTGTAGGGGCGTACCAACATAGTTAGGAGTGCTAACTTAAGCTCTCACTAAATTTTAATTTTGTTTAAATTATTAGTGTAAAAGGGTGTGTGTAAAAAGATTTTAAAAAAACTCTTTGTGCCGATCCAAGTCAATATATTCCCTATGTTCCTATTCAAAAGTATCTCTTTCACATTACACACAATATAATAAAATGGTAATGTTTGACACTGTTTGATACTTTTTAACATTGTTTTACACTGATTTGCACCGTTTTGTTAACTAAATAAGAAAAGAAGATTTTTTTTGTAAGGACGGACCGAAAAGGAAAGTGGAATGTTTATTTTGAAACTGGGATAGTATTGCTTTAGTTACACCACTGATTATAACTATCATGTGCTGTTTTATCTTTTAATGTAGTCCGTATGATTTTTATACTCCATACGTAATGAGTATTTCTTCACATCAACTCATCAGTAAGACACTTGATCATTGGATCTTTTTTCCTAATAGTCATTCAAAATAAGCATATCTTTATAACTACTTCCAATGCAAATAATTAGTTAAAACATACAAATCCCTGATCTCACAAAACTTGGCCAATTCATTTTTTATCTGTCCCTAAAAATTCATTTTGAAGTAGTCTTTCGATCTCTTACATGCATAAATCTCATATTACACAATTTTTTTTATCAATATGCATGGCAATCAAATTTGGTCAAATTTTATGGACTGGGAGGGGTATTATTGTCCCGTGCAACGCACGGGTACAATACTAGTTATATTTATACCATAATGAAGTTTAGTGATTAGTTATCATATACTGCGTATGATTAAATGTGAGAATTTTATCTTTCATGTTTGTTAATGTATATGTATATGTATTTTATACACACAAAAATAAAATACGGAGTATTACTTATCGTATTCATGCAAAAATATAGATAAAAATTCAATTTCTATGTCTCCGACTAGTCCCCGACTAGGCGTCCGCCTAGCCGCCTAGGCGCTGGGCTGGCGCCCGACTAGCGCCTAGCGCCTTTTAGAACATTGAACACTACCAAAGGCGGTTGTTTTTTATTTTTGTGTTTTAAACAAAATAGTCGAATATTTTTCAATAAAATTATTATACGATAGTATATATGTATATTATTTCGCTCTATTTGCACATAAGTACAGTATAAAGTGAGTATTTAATTTTATCATATCTTGTTTTTTTCGTAGCTTTTGTTTTCTCGTGGGAAAGGCCTATCGATTTATAAAACTTGTATTCAGACTTCATTCACAATATATTACTACGGAGTAAATCATATCACTTTAATTAATTAAATGTCCACTTTTTTGTTTTATGAGCACTGATTATTAATGAGAAACTTACAAATAAATAGAAACTTAAAATAGAACTTATCTAACAGGTCAGCAACAAACGTACACACAAAATGAAATAATTTTCAAATTCTGCTAATAATTAAAGTCTCGTGTTAACCTCAACTACAATGGAAAATGAGAAACAATTGTGTTATATTGTTTTACCAAGTTGATTTGATGAAAGAATAAATTCCACTTTTAATCCTACGAGTATCGTACTAATTAAACAATTGGTCCACATATTTGACTTTGGCCACTTTGATACATGACTATATGATTTCGGTGGTTAAAACCGCCGGAAATGGAAGCGGTCCAGCACAGCTGGTCGCCGACTCACTCTCCCATACGGGAGGTCCAGGGTTCAATTCTCAATGGAGTGAGATTGATCCCAGTTTACCCCAGCCCCCCAAATCCCCCACTCCTGACGCCCCTTGGGCAGTCATGGACCCGGTTCGGGCCGCCCGGCCTGGGACCGGCCCGGCCCGGCCCGCTACTATGCGGAATCGGAACCGGCCCGGTTCTTGGGTCCGGGTCCGGGTCGGGCCTAGGCCCGGTGGGGGGCGGGTCCGGGCTCGGGCCTTGTATTTGGCGAACCGGCCCGGCTGGGTCGGGCCCGGGTCAGGGCCGAATTGATTTTTTTTTTTTCATTTTTTGCGGTTACCCGGGTTGGGCTTGATGGTTAGGAGGGGTTTGGGGGGTGGGGGGGGGGGGGTTAGGAAAGCAAAAAAAATAATATGACCAAAACCGGAGGCCCGGACCGGACCGGACCCGGTGGCTACCCGGGCCTTCCTTCCCAAAAAAAAGCCCGGCCCGGGTCCATGACTACCCTTGGGGTAATAAAAACGTAGTAAAAAAAAGATTAGATTAGTTTGATGTAGGGATGGACCCGGGCCGGTCCGGTTCCGGTTCCGGGCCGGGCCCGGGCGGGCTTTTTTTCAGGTTACATGGGCCCGGAACCGGCCCGGGTTGATACCGGGTCCGGGCATAACCGGGCCGGGCCCGGTTCAATGTTTTTTTTTTTTTTTTTACTTTCTTGTTATCTCCCTACCCCCCCCCCCCCTCACCCCCACGCCCCAAACCTCCCTAAAACACCAGCCCTACCCTAGGAAAAGAAAAAAAAATGAAAAAAACCAAAAAAAAAAAATGAACCGGGCCCGGCCCGAACCGCCCGGGCCGGTTCAACAAAAATAGGGCCCGGAACCGGCCCGCCCGACCCGCCAACACGGGCTAAAAGCCCGGAACCGGCCAACCGGGCCCAGTCCGGTCCGGGCCCGCACAGTAGCGGGCCGGTCCGGTTCCGGGCCAGTTCGGCCCGGCCCAGTCCATCCCTAGTTTGATGTTTGTTTACTTTCTGAATTGATCATACCAATCAGGATCTGGACATCCTAACCAGTAACCATGATACGTGAGTTAGTTCGTATGTCGATTTTTCTTTGTACATCGAGATGATTCTCTTGATGTCAAATCATTTTGATTAGTAGCTGATTTGCTAAAATAATTTAGTACCATTAGTTATGATACCATAATTACCATATGTGCATATAAGAATATAGGTCAGCACTACTTTTATAAGTAACGAGATTCATTTTTACACAAAGTTAGTCTTGGCACTACTTTAATACCATTTTCGTCCATTTGATCATCACTTAATCTAACCATTCTTATTATATTGGCAGCATCGCATATGTTGTAGGATTTATGCTTATCCTGATAGGACTATTGTTGAAAAGCTCGTTTGAACCAACCCAGGGCGTCATTGGTCATGTAGTGGTGAGCGTTGCAGGAGTATTTAATATCTTGGCTAATGCATATATTTGGAACAAAGCTCTTCGCTCGCCATTTAACAGTTTAGGGGATTCTGAAGACCATTAGGAATGAAGTTCATCTTTGGAAAATGTTGTGTCTTAATTTTAATTTCCTATTCAGTTGTAATAAATGGTAACATGTACCGTGTTTTGAATGCTTCATTGGTGTATGTTATGGGTTTATGAGATAAGTAGTACGGAGTAACTTGGTTTAGGTAAGGGCCAGTTTGGTTGGGGTTTTTGAAGGTAAAGCGAGGGAAGGATATCTCTATTTTTTATTTTACTAATTATATGATTAGCTAGATCGTGTACTTTTAATACTACTAGTATTTTATATTTACTTTAATTCAGTAAATATAAATCATATATATATATATATATATATATATATATATAGAGAGAGAGAGAGAGGGCAGTTCACATCAGGAGTTCCTGATGAGAACCCCGTGCGGACAAGACCATCAGAGGGTCTTCCCGGTGGAATTTTTTGATGAAATTTTTTGAGCATGTTCCTCCAAGTCTAGTTTGCCCATACCAAATTTCAGCTCAAAATTCCATCGGGAAGGCAGTCAAATAAATCCTGGAAAAATATGGTGCACTCTGCGCACATATAATGTGCAGTATATTTCCAGTATTTATTTGACTGTCTTCCCGATGGAATTTTGAGCTGAAATTTGGTATGGACAAACTAGATTTGATGAGGAACATGCTCAAAAAATTTGATCAAAAAATTCCACCGGGAAGACCCTCTGATGGTCTTGTCCGCACGGAGCTTCTCTTCAGGAGCTCCTGATAGGAACGGGACTATATATATATATATAAATTTGTATCGGCATTGATCGATCAGATGTGACATTTTGTGAACCTACTCATCAGGTGCATCTGTGAAGGTTCAATATTTCCAAGCCATTTGGCCACATTGATTACCGCGAGTACAATTATTAAAACATGGATTCACAGTAAAACATAGTACACTCTAGTTTAAGAAAGCCAGAAAGCAGAATCAGATTGGAGGAAAGTGGTATTTTCTAGAATTAGTACAGATGTATACGTATAGTATTCAATTAAAGAGAAAGTAAGATCCTCACGCAAAGTTGTGTCCTGCTTTTGCATAGGCTTTTACTGAAGGATCATCATTCCAGGCATCATCTGGTACCAAACTTCTGATAAATATGAGCCCAAGTAGAGCATATGGCCTCCGACTATGAGGAATTGCTTATTGATCAGAATGGTGGGGGTAACAGACCAATAGGTATAGAACTAATGAGTTAAAAATCCTTTTGATAACGAAGCTCTATAAGATCTTTGGCCCGAATAATCCGCAAGCCGTGAAGTTAATGACAAGTATACCTCCAAATCTCCAATGGCTCTCAGAGGGGTTCAAACTGGTGATGCCAGTTCTGCTCTTGGATTCAAACCTTATAGTAGTACAAACCGATTAGTATCTAACATTTTGACTGTGTAGCAATTCAACAACAGCAGCAACTACACCCTGTCCCTCGGTTGAGAAGTCGAGACCCGGCTCCTCAATTTTCCTCTTCAGAAGTTTATCAAGTTCACCTCTCAGTTTCTGTAGTTTCACACAAATTGAGCTTAGCTAAGCTAAAGGGGCATGTTTCGAACACGGAAAATGTAAGAAAGGGGAAAAGATTTAGTTAATAACTTCTGGTGTTTGGTACATTAACTTTGAATGAGCACAAAGAAACAGTGTATGGTTAAGTATTTTGAAACTTGCATATAGTTAGAACTGATGCAGAAAATGAAGGGTACCTTTATTAATTCCAACACGCTCTTTGAGGCAGAAAACTGGAGGTACCCTCCAAGCATCTCAATACCATCCCCACTTTTACTAGGAATGAGATTACCACCAAACATGAGAAGAGTGTAATCCGAAATGTTTGTGGAATCTCTTACATAGATGCTGCTTGTTTTGACCTTTTCACTGTAGACAATAAAAGGTAGAGGGAAGAGATGAACTGTAGCATTGACAGATGCTGGGTGAATGTCAACTTTCCCATCATCCTTTGTGTAGAAAGCAGTTCGCTTTCCTCTTCTTTTGCACTGGGCAACATTAGGGTAAAGCCCAGCACAGAGGATCGCACATAACATCTCCAAGTCATTACTGTATTCATTGTAAGCCTGAAGAAAGAGATGTTAAAACATACACTCTCACCTTCAATTGGCCAACAAACACACAGGTTGTCAAATTTGTTTCTTATTTTGCATAAAAGGACTTCAAAAAAGTACATGTACACTTGAAAGGTTCCCCATAAATGTGATTGAAAACAAATCTGCTTACCTGGGGACCTTTGGATTTATCAACGAAACCAATATCAGAGAGTAAATCCAGAAACTGCATCCTCATATTTTCCATCATTTGCAAGGTTATTGGTGATAAGAAGTTTTCCCAACAGTAGCCTCTTTCATTACCCTTACGCTTAGCATCTTTCCATCCTTCATAAGCTTTGAGAACGGCGATATGGTCACTGTTAAGGGGGAGCATTTGCACCAGTTAAGGTCAGTTTGGAGTTTGGGTTTGGAAGGCTAAGTGTATATCTTGATATGTATTTGAAATTTTATAAATAAAAGAAATTTAAGAGAACACAATATGTGATACAATGTTTGACTCTCCCTTAATTTGTTTTTACATATATTTATGAGAGATAAATAAACTATCCATCCAAACATAGCTTTAAAGAAAATTATTAAACCATGGCAACAAGCAGTAGTGAAGCTTAATGGATTGACCTGCAAGAATCACCAGCGAAGGATCTTTTGGCAGCATCTGCTTCCTCTTTCCTATTTATAGGGAGAACAAATGGGTTTCGATGTGCAAGAGCAGCGGCAATTGTCAGCGCAGGGTTTAGGCATTTGAAGAAGGAACCCATGAGAAGCATTTTTCCAATATTTGGGTCCAAAGGCAAAGTGCACAAGTGGCGCCCTGTGTTGAGGAAAACTCATTTCATGTGGCAGTAAAAAAAAATGCTTCACATATTTATCAGATCTTGCAACATCACTAACCAAGTGAAGTAAGCTCCTCCCCTTCATCAAGAGCTCCAATTGTTTGCAGAAGTTCTATAGCATTTTTAACAGAGAGAGGATCTGGGGGTTGAAGAGCCTTGTTCAGAAATGAACCAATGGTTCCCAACTGTAAGCTCTTAATATGGAGGCAAAGCTCTTGTAAAGGGGTTCGAAGAATTTCAGGTAGTTGATACTGTGGCATGGCATCATACACTAGTTTCGGATACAATCTATAACAAACTCCGGGTTGCACGCGACCAGCACGACCACGCCTCTATTGTTTCCAATATCAATAACAAATTACTTCCTAAATTCTATACAGCAACGCGTACCAAAGAATAATATGCCATTCAACTGCAAATGATTTATAGAATAGACAGAGTACCTGATGTGCTGAGGCCTTTGAGATCCATGATGGTAATAAACAAGCCAATTTATTAAGTGCATCATAACTAGTTTCTTTAGCCTTTCCACAGTCAATGACATACACAACATCATCAATAGTTATACTGCTTTCTGCAATATTTGTTGCAAGGACTATTTTCCTGCGGCAAATTACAAATTTCAGAATCCAATACCATTCTCACAGGACCAAGAACTTAAAAATTGCAATGAGTTTGGATAGCACCACCCCCACCCCACCACCACCACCATTACCACAAATAACTTTTTTCTCATTACAATATTACATCAGTAGAAACTCACTATTGTAACATGGATATTGATGAAGCAAGGCATAATATGGGACAACATCACTGGTGTGACTAGAATTAGGATACAATGAAAAACAAAAATACCAGGGAAAGCATGGAAGAAAATGAACATAAACTGAATATACCTAACATTAGGAGGTGGACGGTCAAATATTTCTCGTTGGTTAACCGTGGGCATTGAGCCATGTAAAGGGAGAACCAAAACATTCCTTGGATCTCCAAGGAAATTGTTTACTTTAATTTTATCAAGCAGCTTAGAAATATCATCCCAACCAGTGAGGAATACAAGAATCGCACCATCACCTTCATGACGACAGATATACTGAATGGTTGCTTCCACCTGATCCAAAAGAGTAGAAAAAACAGCATAATTAAAGGCAAATTAACATAAACAGAGACAAGGCAAAAGGGCATGCCGTTGTAAAGACTTCATTTCACGACTCTAAATCCTTGAAACACCGCCCTTTGTATTTCGAATTGATGACGAAATGGGATATGGATTATTAACAAATCGGTGCTACTCCCTGGAATATTTATGGCCAACCATACAAAAACGTTTGCATGAAGGAAAAAAAAGAAAGCTAACATAAAAGTACATACAAGTCCGAAATCAAGCTGTGAGCCTGACCAAGCATCAAGAGATTGCCTTGTGGCTATGCTGTAGCCCTTGTAATGGGAATCAATGTCCACATCCTACACATCAGAAGGCTTTGAGATAAGATACATGGTTGCAGCAGAAGAAGCGCATCTAAACAAAACCTTTTACTGTCAACTGTTATATGCACAGTGGTATGAGAGTATACAACAACATCCAAGCCTTATTCCCAAAAGATATTGGTATGAGAGGACAGAAAATTTGAAACCAGGAACACGATGAAAATCAATGATTAAGAAAGTCTCATTGTGTGCACATGACATTTCAGTAGTAGCATAGCAAAAGCAATTTCTTGTTCATCTGCTTTTTAAGTCAGTATGTAAGGATTCTTTGCTAAAGAAAGAATTTAAAGTTAACAGCATACCTCAAATGATTCAGTCAAAGGATCCTTCTTAGATTCCTGTTGGCGGCGCCTTCTCCTCGAGTTTCCATGAACGACCTGAACGTTGTCTAAATCTGATTTTATGTTGTAACAAGTTTTTTCTAAGACATCTTCTAAAAATAACTCTGCCACGGGATAAGTTAGTCCCTGCAAAAAATATCAAATATCATATTATTCACAAAATACAATGTACATCACTAACTCACTAGCATCAATAATTTCAATCATGTTAAACTAAAATACCGGGATATGAATCGTGGGTGCATTTCCAAAGTACTTAGAGAACATCTCAGCATTAATAGTTGCACTCATCAGAATGATACGTAAATCGGGACGCCGAGGAAGGAGGTCTCGTATAATTATAAGAAGAAAATCTTCATCCAAGCCTCGTTCATGAATTTCATCCACCAACAAATGGGTAACTCCAGTTACACAAGGGTCCTGGACCTATTATCAACATATAGGGGAAAATCATTCAAAAATTCTTCAATGGACTGGTTTCAAGAATAACTTTGGAGTACTTTGCATGGGCAAACGAAAAAGTTGTTCAATTGCGGGTTTTGAGGAAATAAACGATAAAGTGGTCGTTTTACAATTCTAACCTCTAAAAAAATAAGAAAGGGTAAGATGGGTCCTCAAAAAGTAAAGGGTGAAATGATAGATAAACGGATGAAGTGGGAAAGTAAAAAAGTTAATGGAGTTCATATTCTTGGGACAATACAAAAAGGATAGTATATATCTTAAAAAGTGGGATGGAGGGAGTATCTCTCAATTTTCTTTACATGTATATACATTTATATCACATGCCACATGTGACAGGACAGAAGGTTTTGGCTAGTTTACTAACATCAGCAATTTTTAATTAAAAGAAAATAAGATTCTGATAGCTACACATGCACCAATAAGGGTAAAATAGCACTCCCCCAACATGTATTAACAGTGCAGTCAGACCAACAAACTGATTATTATTAACTGAATAGTGCGCAGCTGAGTGACTGTACAGGTGTACTCACATAAAATGTGCTATTTCTCATTTTAGCTTAGCTTAAATAAAAAAGAAATTGTCCTAAATAGTAGTACAAACGTTTGTGAATTCCAAAATAGGATTGTCATGTTTTAATTCCCTAAAATAGGAGTCATTAATGCCATGTTTTGGCATTACCTGATTTTAAAATGGCAGTAATTACTCTTATGTAGGGAATAAAAACATAACAGTCCTATTTTGGAATTCCAAAACATTTTACTCCTATTTAGGGAATTTTCCCACCCACTTCACATTGACATTTTGTTGTCTCAAAACAACAGTTGGAAATAACGCCAGCAACTCGAGCGCATACACTAGCAACCTTTACTGCCACGGAATAGACACTCATGACTCTAATGTTATGGATCCATTCTATGGATGAGTATATCAACGGAGGCGTGTCCAAGAAGATTTAGAGATTTTATTTGGGCAAATCAAAAAAGATCAGGGTGGTTTACGTGGCTGACCAGGAGGCTAAGGAAAGCTGGTAGCATTTAATTAATTAGATCCTAGTTAATTCCAATTCATAGTTATTTCCTTATTTTATTAGGAAAGTTGGCAGCATTTAATTAATTAGATGATTAGATCCTAGTTATTTCAGTGTTGTGAAATGGAATTTTATTCCAACGATAAAAATACCGTTGCCCAAATCCAAAAGGCTAAAACCAATTTTAATCCAAGATGAGCTAGAATGAATCCTAACAAGGGGTTTAAATACCCATCTACTAATTCTTAAACTAGGAAACAAAATCCTAGAAATCCTAATCAACTCCAACTAGGAAACAGAATAATAAAGATCCTAATCAACTTCAAATAGGAAAGAAATAATAGAAATCCTAATTAACTCCTAATAGGAAACAAATATTAGAAATCCTAATTAACTCCAAATAGGAAACAAATCAGGAAAATTTAAAAAAATAAATATTAATTAAGCAACCCGCAACCAGCCCACGAAGGTGGGCTCAAGCCCGTCCCACCTTCAGTAAACCCACGGGGGCTTCTTTCCCTCTTCTTCCAAGCCTAGATTTTGCTTCATATCATTCAGATTCAAAGTTATTTCCTAATTCAGTTAGGAAACTTCCTATTATTCTTATGCTTCCTGTTAGGAATCTTGTAATCTCTATTTAGGGGGCCTAATATTGATTAATAAAGTACTTTTGGAAGAATTAATTTTGATGTGTCTTCACTAGGTTGGGCACCAATTAATTCCACCTTAAGACTCTTACATAATTATTCTTCATCCCGTTCAATAATCTGAGACTAACAATATTGATCCTAAGGTCTCAATTGGCTCCTCTTCTTTTCTGAGATCCCGTTTGAGGTCTTGGACAAGGTCGTATATGCGGGTCCTTAACAATTGGTATCAGTCAATCAATCTTCTATCTAATAAGAGGATAGTTACCCCCTTCGCTGATCTGCAGAAAGAGATCCCTCTTTATGCCCATTCATGCTCAAACACAGAGGGGGCAGGTCAGGCTGCCCCGACTCCTCTTCCTATAGAGTAGCAGCGGTGTTTGAATGCATTGGCCACAACAGATATTGCCAGTGTCAGCGAACAAACTTAATGTCTTCATGGCTGCCACGATCTCCATGTAACTATTTAGGTGGTAAATTCAGGCGTGACGCAACTAGTTAATAATTTAAAATGAATGGGTGTACTATTGTGTTTTTTTAGTTTGATGACCACATCTTCAGCAGCATTATGGCATATATATAACCCTTACCTCCAAGTGATACTCTCAGTGTACTTTAAACAATGAAATGAAAGTTAATTATAAAGCCAAAACTCAAAGCTCCTTGCAACTAACAGCACAGTTAGCATACTTGCCAAGATAGTAAAACCAAAATCAAAACTCTTTATAATGAACAATATAATTATCATTGTCACTTAGATGCCAGTACCAGTCGCCGCAGCAGCACCCCTGTAGTACAAAAGAGTAATCTTGTTTCAGCAGATCGCTTTGACTCCAGCCGGATCTGGTAACCAACAGTCTCTCCTAGGATTTCGCCCCTTTCAGAGGAGATTCGGGCTGCAACAGATATGGCAGATATGCGACGAGGCTGAGTACATATGATGTTGCAATTAGCGCCACGTGAAGATGATATTTCTTCCTCCAAAATGAATTGAGGAAGTTGTGTGGTTTTCCCACAGCCCGTCTCTCCTGAAACTACTAGTACCTGTGCATCAATAGAGGCTGGCATTAAACTTAATGTTTCTCAATCACTAAATAACAGGCCTGCATCAAATCATCGAGAATAATTATATTGAATAATACATAAAATATAAATTCCTCAAACTTAACAATTTCTCTATATAATAATATTATAATGAAAGGTTAAATCAAACAATGTACCTGATTTTCTGCAATGGCTTTCAAAAACTCAGATTTTACTTTAAACGCTGGGAGTTTTTCTCTGAATAACATCATTTCCTTGAATTGATTGGTTGCCTGGAAGGAAAATGAATCATATATTGCCAGCTCACATAGCCAAACAAAAATATTACTGACCACGATGACTTAGAACACATTACACATTTACACATAAGATATACCCTCAGTGTTTCCTGCTTCTGCTTAAGATCAGCATTAAGTTTCTCTTTGAAAACATCGCTCTCCAATATCGGCACAGATCTTTCATTGTTTACATCATTAAATGATACATTGGCAGTATATGATTCGGTAGCATGGGAACTTCCATCAGACAGGAATGCTTTTGAATGGCTCAATAGGTTTCCAACTTTTTTTTCAATCTCAGTAGACATTTTTATCTGCGAGAAGCATTAATAAAGTATGAAAGTACAATGATAATAAAAAACTATCCATAATAAATATCAACAGACCCATTCCCAATATATTGCGATGAATTTATAAAGAAACATGGAATGTGTCAAAGCACCTCCTGAGATGACCCATGACGATCATCAAGGTCAGCACGGTAATTTGGTAATGGAACTTTGCTCACAACAAGTGCTTTTCCTTTGTTATACGCATGGCTTTCTTCCCACAAATAAAAGACCAGAGGAAAAAATTAACAGACCCTTCATCATACTACAAGCTGAAGAGTAAAAACTAACAGTAAAAAAATGAAACTTCATAAAAATGGAATTAAAAAAACATAAAGAAGGGCGTTGGAAAATGATATCATGTAATTAATACAAAGTTTTGTATTTAAGTCCACTTTATAAGTCTGTTATGATCAAGCCCTCTTGTATAAGTCAATGACCATATAAACTCAAACTGCACTTTTGTATTAGTCAATGAACATAAAAACTCAAACTGTGTCGTAAGACTGCAAAACAATGAGCTGTGGTTACAACTGACAAACAAAGCAAGTTGCAACAATCATCACATGATAGATGTAAAAGTTACGGAATAATGGGTACATGGGCGCCATAAGTCCATGATAATATGATAGATTCATTACATAATAAACCAAAAAATAAGCATGCACTGATTGTAAACTGGCAATGTATTTCAAATTTCAATACACTTACAAGTGAAGCCCGAAATGATATGACATATCACACAACCTATCCTGGTCTTCCCTGCAAAAGTGTCTCTTAATTACCATCTCCTGCTCTCCTCCTCTCTTAAACTGCTCAATTTTTTCCCGCCACTCATTCTCGTTCATTACCTCCATCTGAGGAAATCAGGGACGAGTTAATGACAGAGAACAAAGCACGCAAAAAGTACACAACCTCACCAGACATTGATCCTACTCCTATGTCTAAAAAGTCTAAAAAACGTGTCTTTTCTTCGGTTTCTAATGCAGGAAGAAAGAAAAATTCAAATGCTAGAAAATGTAGTTATCTATGAATTAAGAGTTGCAGCATTTGACATGGATGCATCTAAACCCTACTTTTGTACAGGAATGTGGTACCTCGGCAGCCTTCTGGCGAAGACGCTCGGCTCGCCAGACGGGATCCCACCAGCGCTGCTCCCCACCTCTTCCTCCGCCGCGGCCGCCTGCAGTGCCTCTCCCTCCGCCGCGGTCGCGGCCGCGTGCACCTCCCCCACGACGGCCACCTTGGTTATTGGGGCGATACGACATTCCTGAGGTAGCAGCGATCCCACGAACACAGAGATCGTGGTTGCTGCGGCTTTGAGCAACTGAAATAGACTTGTACGAACGGAAGTGGCTTACAGTCAAAGTCGAGAAAGAAATGCGCAATAACATTTACGTTTGGCAGCGGAAGATCGAAATTCTACCTCTTTAAATGCTCAGTACTTTTTTTTCTCACTCATAATTAAATTCTAGGATGAAACTTCATGTCAGGCCGGCCTGACGGGCTGCCCCGTCCGGCCGAGCCCGTTTGGGCACCTTCCCGGTGGAATTTTTTGATGAAATTTTTTGAGCATGTTCCTCATCAAGTCTAGTTTGTCCATACCAAATTTCAGCTCAAAATTCGATCGGGAAGGTCGTCAAATGATTTTTGCAAGTTAACTGGTCCGGAAAATACATATTCCAGACCAGTTAAGTTGCAAAAATGATTTGACGACCTTCCCGATCGAATTTTGAGCTGAAATTTGGTATGGACAAACTAGACTTGATGAGGAACATGCTCAAAAAATTTCATCAAAAAATTCCACCGGGAAGGTGCCCAAATGGGCTCGGCCGGACGGAGCATCCCGTCAGGCCGGCCTGATGAGAAGAGCACTCAAATTCTAGTAATCTAGTGTGTACACAAATTGTATAGAACTTCTACATAAGCAATTGATAGTCAAATAGAGTGTCTACAATTAATAATTTTATTTACAACTGTAATTTTCCCACAATTCATAACTCTTACACCTCTTATATATACTCCTTAAAACTATGCTTAGGAGTTGTCTTGTTCATCTTAACATTATTGTTTATTGTTTAATCTTATTTTATTTATATCAAATCACATATTAGAAAAATCCAGATAACATTAAAAAACTAGAAAGGTTTAGTTAGGATCATAAAAGTTCGTACTAGATGAGTTCAAAAAGGTTGAGATCATATCAAATCAAATCATCAGATCAGAAAAAGTTCATACATAATTTAGAATTTTTTCCCAAAATAAAATCAATTAAACAGTTATTTACAAAAATGAGGTTAGGTTAAAAGGATTTCTGAAACAACGTTGGTTTGAACCATGTTTAATGAAAACCACCAACCTGAGTGGAGAGTTAGAAAATGCCATACTGGTTGGCAATGTTGTAATTAGAATACCTGACATCTATGACGTTTTCTAAGCCGTCACATGCCATTCAGATTGGCGGTTTTCATTAACCGCCGTGTTGGCGATTTTGTAATTAAAATATTCGTACGAGTATGACTTTGTTATTGCTGTTGTTTTTTGAAAGTTTGTTGTTGTATTGTTTGTATATTGTTATAGATGTAAAATCATATTGGGATAAGGGTCAGATAGGGCCTCGAACTCGAAAAAAAATGTCAAATAAGGTCATATTTCGGATGCTCTGTCTGGCCGACGCCATTTGGGGCGGTTCCCGATGGAATTTTTTGATAAAATTTTTTGAGCATCTTCCTCATTAAGTCTAGTTTACCCATACCAAATTTCAGCTAAAAACTCAACCGGGAAGGTAGTCAAATGAGTTTTTGAAGATAACTGTGAAGTTAAACAACGCCGTACATTTCGGAAAATTATTGACTACCTTCCCGGTTGAATTTTTAGCTGAAATTTGGTATGGGTAAACTAGACTTAATGAGGAAGATGCTCAAAAAATTTCATCAAAAAATTCCATCGGGAACCGCCCCAAATGGCGTCGGCCAGAGAGAGCATCCGAAATATGACCTTATTTGACATTTTTTTTCGAGTTCGAGGCCCTATCTGACCCTTATCCCAATCATATTTCGTATACTGTTGTTGTTAATATTACAAATAATAATAGCATTATTATTATAATATTATTCTATGTTGTTTGCATAATAATTAATTATGTTAATGTTACTAGTATAACATTATATGTTGTTGTTGTGGTTATTATTAGCAATAGTATTATAGGGTTTTGACCAGAAGATTACTACAAAGCATGTTATAGACAAAAGGATATTTTTTGGATCCGAAAAAGTGAGGCTAATGGTGATAGAAGCAATATAATAACTTAAATAGTATACAATCTCACTTCAAGGAACAAAGATAAACCTATCAGACGTCCATCGATTCACCGAGTTGTGACTGCTAACGGTATTAAATATATGGGTGGAATAATGGTTGATGACCCTTACATATTTAGAGCTCGATCTATACTTAATCTATACTGACATTTTACAAAAACTATGTTCTATTCTAAGAAACAAAACATCTTTAACAGATACACGATATATTTGTGTTGAAGAAATTATGGCTGCATTTTTACTTATTGTTGGCCGAAATAACTATTATGGTCAACCAAGAATGATATTTAAGTGGTCGCACTTCACTGTTTGCAGAAATTTTAACAAAGTATTGAGAGCATTGGATACAATAGCTCTGGAATTTATGATTAAACCATAATCCGTACCACATGTCATGAGAGAAAATACAAGATTTTTTCTTTACTTTAAGGTGAGTAGTGCAACATTTATTGATATTTAATAGTTTTAATATACAAAAATAAGTATTATGAAGTATTATTTAATCATTCTGGTATATTTTCTTTCATAATGTTAGGATTGCATTGGAGCAATATATGACACCATATTCCAACAACAGTAGCTGAACGAGAGGTTATCAACTATCAATATATATATATATATATATATATATGTAGGGGAGAGTTCAAATAAAAAGTACTCTTCCCGTGCAAAGTGCGAAAATTGCACTCTTACACGTTTAGCTTGCACTTTTTCGTGTTTCCATATCACTTTTTCGCCTTTGCGGTTTTGGGTTAATTCGGCCAAAACCACGGTGGCAGTTTTGTAAATAAACCAATTTTTTCGTTATCATGAAAAAGTGCAACGAAAACAAACAAAAGTGCAATTTTCGCACTTTGCACGGGAAGAGTACTTTTTATTTGAACTCTCCCCTATATATATATATATATATATATTACTCCAGGGGGCTGGGGGGCTGGGGGGCCTGGAGTTATCAAGGCTGAAATTCACTCCATTGAATTTCGAACCATTATGTGTCTAGCAGGTTTCGAACTCGAGACCTTCCACTAAACACGGTAACCTTACAACCAGATGAGTTAGAATGTTTGGTTTGCAATTCATATATGTGTTTGACAGTCGGGAAGGTTTCATTCATGATTCAAAAGTGTTAAATGATGCAATTTCAAGGCCAAATGGTCTTAAAGTGTCATCACGTACATGTTTGCATGTGCATAAAAAAATTTGAACACCAATTACATATTTTTCCATGCAATAGCCTACTTGGTGTAGGTAAATATTATTTGGGGGATTGTGGATTTCCAAATCATCGTCAAGTTTTAGCTCCATTACGAGGTACTCGATATCATCTTAAAGATTTTGATGGTGAAGGGAATCACAATGTCAATGTGGTTGAATTGTTTGATCTTGTCATGCTTCTTTAAGGAATATATGGTTGAATGTATGTTTCGAATATTTAAGTCATGTTTCACAATCTTCAAAATGGCATTTCATTCTCTTATGAGACCCAAACAGAGCTAGTTTTGGCATGTGCAAGAGTACAAATTTTTCTTCAACGTGCTTAGCTGATCTAATGAATTCCTTTCGGATGCCGAAGAAGAACCACCTAGCCATAATGAGGATCAGGGGCGAGTCGGTGTCGGCGGCACCCCTTCGCATAGAAATTCTTTAGTAGTAGTATTAGGTATTTAGATTCACTACAACAAAAGTCTATTTATAGAGGCGACACTTTGAAGAAATTTGCCTCTAAAAGACCCTTTTAGTGACATATGAATCTTGGTTGCCTCTAATCTTATAAGGTCTCAATACATTTGAGACAACCGTAATTTTCTTGTCTCTAAAAGGTATTGATTGGAGCAACCTTTCTAATGTTGCCTCTAAAAGATTGTTGCAAAAGCATAGTCGCCCCTAAAGATATTATTTGGAGCAATCTATTTACGGTCACATCTAAAAGTTTGTCGCAAATGTATTGCCGCCCTTAAAACATTTATTGCGAAACATATATCACTCACAGTGGCAAGAATTTGGGGCAACTATTTCCTTAGTCTTCTAATAAAATGTGCGATTAATTAGATGAATTTGAAATATTATTGTCTCTGAAATATCCTAAATTTCAAAATTCAATTGGTTTTAATCACTTAAAGTTCGTTTTATAACATTGATATTGGCTAAATTTGCTAAAATTGATGAATGTTAATTGAAGCACCAGAATTGACTGAACAGAACAAATAATGAAAAATATGTTTAAAATCGGTATAATACTGTTTTTGAGACAAACTATGGAGTATCGCGACAAAGAGTGAATATGGTCGCAATGTACTACGTATCTAATACACGATTGTGTTTTTATGATTGTAAATATATTAAAATTAAATATTTTTTGGGACCATTTAAATATGTTATCGCAATTGCATAAAAAAATCACGTCCCTAAAATATTGCAATTGGCGGGTGGCTCTGTGGCGCCAATTCAAAAAAATAATTTAGTATTTTCAGTTTTAATTTTTCTTTTTTCATTTTCTTTCCTCAATAATTAGAAATGGGCCGGGGGAATGGTGAACCCGAAACCCTCCCTTTTCCTTAGCCAGTTAGCCCCCAAAATCTCACCGCTGAATTATATTCCTTGCCATCGCGTTGCCGTAGGAGCACCATCGCAGGTGTTGCGGTTCAGAGGCGAAACGCTGAAACCTTCACCATCACCCTCAATATTAAACATGGCGAAACCGCTGCTCAGCCATGGAACAATTTTTTTGGTCTAACAGTGTGTATCCGCGTGACGAGAGCAAGACTCCGTACAGTTCACGGCAAAAACGGCTTGAGATATATTGAAAGTGAGCCCCCCTTGCTGTCTATCCACTCGTGTTCGTATTTCGATTGGTTTAGAGCACGTGGTCCGGCAGAACTACACAAACAGCTCGCTACTCTACAGGCAGAAGTAGCCACATCTGTGCTCTGTCAAAACTCAAAAGAATCTGGTTCAGTTGTCACTTGTACCTTAGCCCCCGCAGAAAGAAAAACCGCATCTACATTAAGAGTAATACGTTGTCAAGGTAGTTTACATCATTATTAACAATATTTTGATGAAAGCTTCGGTATCAAGTTCTTATAAT